CACTCTTTCTCTCATACTTTTATAGTCAGTATGGACTGATCCATCTCTCTCCATGCAAAACTGTGCAGGCAAGAAATTGGCATAAGGCTCAGGAGTAGAGCTGTCCTCCCTCCCTAGTTAGCTGTTGGCTGTGTGTTCCAAGTGGTGCAGCATCCATTACAGGCAACGGGATAGAGTCCAGTATAGAAGAGGGCCCTAGAGTGTACATACAGCCAAAGTCCAAAAGTGAGAGGGAAGGATGGATTCCACTGAGTGCTATACAGAGCTCTTCCTGCACAAGCTGCGCCTATGAGGAATCCAACCTTTAGTTCCTTAGGTAAGCATTTCAGTTTGATTACTGTAAAGTGATAAAATAATAGCAGCTAATAATTAGACGATTTGATGATATTAGGCTTCATGGCGCTGACAGTTTCAACCTGCACTCACATTATATAGGCAGTGTTGTCTGTCTATAGGAGCTCTGTCTTCCTTATCAGGTTGCTGATATAATTAGGGCATCAGGGTGTTTGTAACTAGCAATCCTGCCTTCCCTTTTTCCTTAAGTAACATCTATAGCTATCTGTTCTAAACCTATGATTCATTTCAGATTTCTTGCTTTATAAAATTGCCTAGGGCAATGAAGCAGGAACTAGGAGAGACTGTCCAGAAGGAACTGCGACATAGGAAGCTGGAAACAGGTCAGAGTCAGCAGCTCTCGGGCCAGATTGCAGCCATTGACAGGCCTGATATGGCCCGTGGGCCGCACGTTTGACAGCTCTGGTCTATATTAAATTATTTCAGTATTAAATAATTTAGATTTTTAAAAACTGTATGCCATCAACAATTAATCCTGTGATTTTAAAAATATAAATTTTAAATTATAATATAAATATTAATATATAATACAATGGCCCCACTGATGGACCTTCTGATGGCACCTGGTATTTTTGACCACTGTGTGACTGAGTGTTGGACTAGATGGGCCATTGGCCTGATCCAACATTGGCTTCTCTTATGTTCTTAAGTGGTGCTACATGCAACGGACAGAATAGGGATTCTGTTAGCATACTAACTAGACTGCTGCTACACAGCCTCCATATCTGACCGTCATTTTATCTTAGGTCCAAACTACACACTACATATACCTTGTGATCACTGTGAGCATCTGCAGGGTCAGAAGTGCCACAGGGGCCCATACAGCTTCTCCTCCCCCGTACGGTTTCCCTGACCCGAAACAGTGTTGGGGCAGCATCGTTTGCACCATTGGCAGGGGGCTGCATGTGCGAGCACTTAGCGCACATGCACACCCCGATGGGCTCTTTGCAGACAGTGCACAGGGGCCCCCTTCCCTTTCACCCATCCACCTGTGTGTGCAGCCTCCCTACTGCCTGCACTCAGCACCACCCTTTCCCCAACAACTCTAGCTAGTACATGCAGCTGGTCGTGCTGCTACTGTGGTGACCATGAGTGACATCACTGTACATCACATCAAAGCCGGGAGATGGGTGCTGGAGCCCTTCTAAGGGAATGGGTAAGAAAGGGCACACAGAGAAGAGACAGGGAGGTGTATGGATGGGGAGGGTCAGCGACAGCTGCCCCACCTCAGGGTATGCTGATGCTGGTCCTGCAAGTGGAGAAAATGGCTACTGGTAAAGTGCCGGTCTGCTGAATATTCTGAATCTGATAGCAGATTTCTGTACTAACACCTGTAATTCCTTGTGAATTATCTGTCAAGTCTTGGAGTGGAGGGCGCCATGCTCAAGTGCTTGTATTTGGGAAGACAGGTTCCAAAAATTGTTCGCCTTGTTATGGGTTTTGCAGGGCTCTGCTGATTTTTTAAAAATTTCTACATAAAACTGTATACTTAGTTTGCAAAAGGATGTATAATATGTCATCAGTATGCTGATGACACCCAGCTCTATTTCTCCCTTTTATCATTGTCAAATGGAGCTATGGATTCAAGTGCCTGGAGGCAGTAATGGACTGTGTCATAGCAGATATACGGAACTTGAATCCATAAAAAATGGAGGTGCTGTTTGTTGGTGGCTTACTGCATGCTCTGGATCGAGGTAGCCCTCTTCCTGAAAGAGAGGGTGCTTCTAGAGTTGCCTCTATCCTTAGATGCCCATATAATATTCATGGCTCAAGGTGCCAACTTCGTTTGGAGCACCAGTTGTGACTTAGCAGGGAAAGAATAACCTAGCTATAGTCGTGCATACTATTACCACATCAAGGCTGAATTATTGTAGTATTCTCTGTTGGACTGCCTTTGTGGGCCTCTAGGAAGCATCAGATGGTCCAAAATGATGTGTTAGGAATGTTGACAGAGAATGCCAGTGACCATATTTTTTCTGTGTTAAAAAAGCAGAATTAATTGCCATTTTTAATATGCCCTGATCAAGTGCTAGTCTTGACCGTTAAAGCCCCATATTCTGTGTCCTCAGGGTGTCCAAAGGACCCATTTGTCACACATAAATTTCCCTACTTGTTAATACCTTATGGTGAGGCCTTGCTTTCTGAGACAAGGCTGGTTGTGACCGAGAAGAGCTTTCTCAGCGTCTTTGGTTGAGTCATTATAATTTTATTTTGATAATATGACTGTGCCACCCTTTGGACTATGCAGAAAGTGTCCCTCAGACAGTGTTAGTGTCAACTTTGGACTATGCAGAAAGTGTCCCTCAGTGTTAGTATCGTCAAATCTGCTGCTAATACTCTAAAATTTTAAAGATGTAGCTTGCTGTCAATATTCTTCTCAGAATGGTAAATGAAAGGATAAGCACTCCTTCAGACAAAGCTTCTGTAGAGGTGATAGGAATCCATTTGCCTACAGAGCCTTCCTTCCAATTATAGCAAGGGGCTTCGTCGTAAACATCTTTGGAAATGAAAGGGAAGGCTACACTTTTCAGGGTGTGGAAGAACAAAAGAGCTTTTGTTGCTGAAAATGAGTGGTGGGAGGAATGCTTCCTCTGGTAGCTAATATGAAAATAACCTTGTGTCACCCTGTACAGAATAAGAGTTTCAGTCAAACTTCTTGTGGTGAATGATGCTCTTCCTTCTTCTCCTGACAGGTTTCAATAAAGCAGGAGCGGTGATAGCTTTTGCTGTTATAATTGTTCTGGCCTTGGTTGGTGGATTGGTATGGTTCCTGTATAAGAAAAAACGACTGCAGTGGGGTGGCTTCTCTTCAGTACGTTATGAACGGGGGATTTACGAAGATGAAAGTCATAGCATGTTTACCAGAGATGACGACTGAACAACTGTATCTGCTGGTTGTATTTCTACAAATTCGGGAATAGGTTATTTTGGCATCTTGTTATATAGGTTTTGTTTTAGCAAGCCTATGAGGAATGTGTTGACCCAGAGCTAAATCGTGACTTCTGGATGCAATGTGCATTTTGTTCATAATGTAAGATTTTTTTGACGGCAACCCTCTTTCTGTATTTAAGAGCAAAATGTTTCTGATACACGCATCGTCTAATCAAGCTTGGCACTTTTCACTGTCTTAAGACTTGCACATACAGTGAGGCACAACATTATATCCTAATGTTACCATTGGGATGCGTATGAAGAAAGATAGTAAATGTCCAGTGGTTTTTGTTTCAGAATTAATTTATTACACAGAAAATTTTTAATATGACAGCTTGTAATCTTGGCCTTATTCTGATTTATTTGAGATCTATTGGGTACAGGGTTTTAAACAGTCTTCTGTAGAAATGGTTGCCTTTTGATAAAAGCTCCAAAGATTTCCACCTAAGATAGAATTTTATCTTTTTCTCAGGTACTTTAATTATTTATAGACAATTTGAGGCTCTTAATTTTTAAAAAAGCAGCAAGTTATCAGTGTAGATTCATCAGAATGAGCCATGTATCCTATCCCTCACAGATAAAAATGGAAGCAGCCAAATTGAAATTAAGAGCCAAATCTGAGGTTTGTTTGTCTAGCAAAACGCTTTGTAGTGAATGGAAGGCGACATGCCAAAATGGAAATTGTGCTGCCTGATGAGAGCGCCAGATAGTTGTGTTTATTTTTATTTCTTCCGCCATATTTATGCATCCCAAAAAGAAGATACTAGAAATGTGCTCACTAAATGGGTTGTCAGGGATTGAAAATCTGCCCTGCATGGCTTCCAACAGTCCATGGTCCTGCTAGGGATTCTGTGTGTTCCCCCCCCCAAAAAAAAAAACCCTTTAGCTTCATATATTACATCAGATAACATTCTGGAGGACCCTATACCTTCGATCCTGCCAAAATTCACTGCCAAAATTTCCACCCACAAACGATGGCTTTATCATCCCTCTGCTGCAGCCCAAAACTGTCCCCCAAGGGCCCCAGGAACAGTATGAGGGAGGTAATTGGCCAACATCACCCTTCCCCCCCCCCTTTTATGCAAGGATTTGTTCAACTCAATGACTTTTAGAACAAGCTTTAGTGAGGGATAGTTATGGTGGGAAAGTGAGGCCTTCGGCATCATGCTGCTTGTGTGGAGGTTCCACATACTTGCTTTGCGATCCTTCCCATTATGGTTACTGAAAACTAGTTTACATTACATTTATCCATATCCATGTAGAACTAATTTTAAATTGCTCCATTTTTTGTTTATTGAGTGATCCCCCCCAAAAAAAAACCCCTGTAGCTTCATATATTACATCAGATCCTGTGTGAGGATCCACTTTACACTAAATCAGAATTAGCTGTTATGATTGGCAGCAGTTCTGCAAGGTCTCAGGTTTACTATCTGAGATCCTTTTAACTGGAAATTGATTCTGAGAATTTCGGCATACGTAGGATTTTGTTTACAATTGAACTATAGTATACTACTACTACCACACATCTTTTTTTTTGTTTAAAGTCTGCACAACTAACTTTCCATGTTTTGCCAGCTGTCACATAGAGCACTTTGAAGCCATAATGTGTAAACTAGCCCTCCAGCAATCTTTGGAAATGTATTTGCGCTAAAAAAAAAATTTTTTTGCATAAAGAGTAGCACTAAGTTATGTCCAACATAAGATGGGTAGACTCAGTAAAGGAAGCCACATCCCTCAGTTTGCAATACCTGAGCAAGGCTGTTAATGATAGGACATTCTGGAAATAATTAATTCATGGAGTCTCCATAAGCTGGAAGTGGCTTGACAGCACTTTACACACACAAGTTAAGTTGGTTTCCATAACATAAAGGACTGCCTTAATCTTACTATAACACCCCCAATTTAATAAAAACAGTCCAGGAAAATATTTAATGCATAGTTCTGATAATATTAGTGGTTATTTTTGAGGAACCTTCTCACAGATAACAGGCAAAACTTGTTGACTTACTGTTATCAGTAATCATAGTTTCTAGAGTTCCTTTTATAAGGCTGTGGAAAACTCAACGTGGCGATATGGTGGCAAAGTATTTTTTTCTGAGATGGCATCGTTCTCTTTTTTTCTTTGGGAGCTATCTGTAATGACACAAACTTTTTAGCCGCCGAAAGACATACCTCTTCAGTGACAATGGTACAAAAATATCTTTGTATATGTCCGTACAGTTACGAAAATAATAATGAAAGGAGGTTGCTTCCTGTGACAATGGTAGGCAGGCATGTTTTCTCCCCCCCCCCCTTTTTTTAAACATCCAGGGCCATGTGGTCGGGAGTTATTCATTGAGGGAGTTTACATCTTTCAAAAAATTTAAGGGTTCTGAATAAAATTTCATGAAGAGCCACGAGCAGGAAGAGGGGACATGCCCAGTTCTCCCTTACTGTTTCACAAACTGTATCTCATAGGCAGGTAGGATGCCTGAAAACAATAATCCACACAGCAATATATTTGCTAGTAGGAGGAAATACATTTGTACCCAAGATACAAATATCACTCTCTGAAACTGGTAATTTGGCAATAAAAGTGCTATTGTCAGGGACTATGTGCAACAAGTGGGCCAAAAAAGGGGTGACATTTATTATGTAAAACCTAGTTGTACCAAAAAGTTTTTAATGTCGCACCTACACATGAATAGCCCAAGTCAGAATAATGGTGTAGATTTATATATCTGTAGTCAGAGGAAAATATTATGCACGTTGGTTTTGTTGAAAGCGTGATTAAAAGAAATAAAATGCCCTTGCAGCGTTCATTGTTCTAAATTAGTAATGGGTGGAATCTATTCACTATTTTGTACATTTGCATTTGATAACAGCCTGTTTGTGACAGAGGTCCCAGTCTACAGATCTAGGTCCATGCTTGCCAAAGTGATGGCTGGTTCTGTGATCTTTTGAGCATGAGCTAATCCTTTGCAGGTGGGCAAAGGGAAGACATGGAGCTGTACAGATAATTGGCAGTGAAAAACTAGGCAGTGTAGGGGCAAATGTAGATGGTGGAAGTTCTGTCCTATACATGCAGTAGTAATGAGGGTTTTCTGTTATTTTGAATTCTTTAAGGCAGTGTGCTCTACCTTACTGGTTTTATGACTATTTGCACTTATGGGCTCCTTTTGAGGTGACTCTACACACAGAAAGTTTATTTTAAATATTCCTAGGGCTCTTCGATTATGCAAGATAATAGATAAATATGCACAAAATGTTCCAGTGTTTCTATAAAGTGTTTATTTATATAATGTATGAATTACACAGATTTTGTGAGTTAATGGTTTTTGGTCTGTGGGGTTTTCTGTCCAAACAGTATCTGTTCTTAGACATGCTGAAAAACGATGTTATGTGAATAAGTGCAAATGCCTTAATAGAACTATTAAGCCTTATTGTTGGGAGTTCACAATGAAATCTATATTGGTTATGCTCTTAGAAATAGTGGGTTTATTTTTTAAAAAGTCAGATTTGTATGTGTAAGAAAATGTAAGCTGATTTGGTTGTTTTCACCTTATTTAAATACACTGTAAAATTTTGAATTGTTTTCAACGTGAAAAGTTCTGTTAAAGCTAGAAAAAAGTAGAATGTATTCTTGTATTCTGGTGCATTTTCTTTGTTGGGGCGGGGGAAGGGAGGGCATTAAGCAGATCACAAAGGGAGAATATGATAAAAACTGTATTAGTTTGGCAGGAGACTGCTGTTGCACTTAGTTGCCCCATTCTTCCTCTGCTTAATAGATGACAAGCACTGTTGGCTGTTGCACCGTTGATCGCTTTTTAGGTAGGAAGGGGAGCACTTGAACCAAGTCCAGTACTTTCTGTCCCTTTGTTTGCTTAACAGGCAGTCACTGTAGTAAGAGGTGACAATTTGTAATCATCTGTCCAATGGCAGATTCTCTGCAGAAACGCCATACGACCCACTTTACAGGTTCTCGTATGCCCTTCTGCTCCCCTCGCCCAGTTTCTTTCCTAGACCAGTCCTTGTGCACGTTTTTATAGCGGGAGGTATCCAAAAGCGGTAACTTCTTTCGGCTTCCAACTTTCACTTTACAAAACTGGGACAAATGTTTACAGACCATGAAAAATCAAAGAGTGGTGTTTGGAAATTCTTCTGTAGACCTATAGAATACAGCAGCTGGAAGATACCTGTACGTGAATGGGTATAAGCTTAGAGGTATGTGTGTTAAAATAAAGAATGTTTTTTTTTATTTTACTTGTAAAATAAATAAAGCTGTACAATATGTTTTGATTAAAATCAGTGTTAGATTATTTTTCGTTTGGGAGCAGCCTTTTCTGCAGAATGCAGTGAAACGTCTGTCCATTCACCTCTACATGTTATTTCTGTAGGATTAGATTTGTACTTGACTCGTCTTTCAGAATCAGCAGAGCTGCTGCAGCTCTGGGACATTTAAAAACATCAAAAATAATCATGTTTTCCCTTCTTTGGACTGGTAGTTTTAAGTAGCAATGGGAAACTCTGGTGTTCATCATTGTGTCTTCTGTGCCGTTGTGCACGGGAACTGAGCGTGTGTAGGCATGCCGTGAATAATACAAAAGCTTCTGATGGCATGAGTTGCTTTCCCACCTTCAACGCCTATAAAAGGGGGAACAGCCCCTCCCTCCCTCAGTTCTTCTTTTGCCACTGCTGAAGGAGGACGTCTCCATCTCCTGTCTCTGGTAACAAAGGAATCGATAGAGAAGAAATGTATGACTCTTCCACCCTGTCATTCAGGGTAGCTAATTATAAGGCCATAATGCAAAACCTTGACTTACAAAACTTTGTACCCTGGAAATCTTTGTCAGTTTCTTAAGGGTCTACTGGACTTGAATTTTGCTCTGCTATTACAGACTAACATGGCTACCCACACGAAACTAATTCAAGGTGTCTACCACAATACCTGCGTCACAGAAAAGTGTGCTCTTATTTCAGACTTGCAGAGGAGAATCCCAGGTCTGAAAGAGTTCTAGGTAAAGGTTTCCCTTGTTCGAAGGGTAGTCAAATCCAACTCTAGTGGGGCGGTGCTCATGTCCGTTTCCAAGCCAAAGAGCCAGCGCTATCTGAAGACTTCTCCGTGGTCATGTGGCTGACATGACTAAACACTGAGGTGCACGGAATGCTGTTACCTTCCCACCGAAGCGGTACCTATTTATCTACTTGCAATTTCTTGCTTTCAAACTGCTGGTTGGCAGGAGGAAAGAGTTCTATGGGTCACCAATTACAACTTACCATTACAGAAGCCTTTTCTTTACCTAATGCAGATGCCTCACTCAAGTTTTTTTAAGCCTCTGCAAAAGATCCTACATATGCTTAAAAATCGTGTTGTTGCTGAATGCTTTTTACTAAATGTATTAATAATTCAAATGTTAGGAAGACAGCTGAATAGCAGACTTAGCCTGGTGTTTCTTGATGTGACAGAGATGTCATGGTTTATTCAAGGCAATTTCACATATCAAACCATTTAGATATGCTTGTTACGCCTTCGTTATCTAAAAACTAGAATTCCTTGAATTCAATTCACTTCAATAGATTTGATGTTTATCTCTTATGCTTCCCGCACCTGATATCACAGATATTCTCTACTAATGCAATTGTACACCTGACATCTCAGTTCTTGTGGATGAATTGACAATAAAGCTTCAAACCTTTTGTCTGCCTAAATAAAAGGTTCATCTATTGAATACATATTAAGAATTCATTAGCAAAGCCATTAAATTCTTTAGACAGAGGCAGGTAGAGAACCTGGAATTCTGAGACAAAAGTGGAAGGGCAATATGACGATATACAACGGGCAATAATCCAACAACAGTTTATCAATACCTGTCCTTTATGGTTCTGTACAATATAATTTCAACATGCATCTTCCTTTTTACCCAGAAGATTCAAGGTAGATACTCATAAACATTTAAACAGGTTAACATCATAGTCACATTGTTGCATAGAATCAAATGGTATAAGTTAATGGTGGCATTCAAAAAGTCTGATTGAGAGGCTTGCTACTGCATATATTTTGAATGGACACACCCCAGTCATCATGTGAGATCCCAAAGGTACATGACTTCAAACTGGGTATCCTGCAACATTGCCAGCTCTGGGGTGGAGCCTGGGGAAGGTGGGTTTGAGGAGGGGAGGGACTTCAGCCGGGTATAATGCCATAAAGTCTATCCTCCAGAGCAACCGTTTTCTCCAGGGGAGCTGATCTCTACTGTCTGGAGATCAGGGCTATTTTGGGGTAGGAACGCACAGGAACGGAGTTTCGGCTGGCTCCCGAGTTGGCCACGCCCAGTAGGAACTCATTAGCATAATAGGGCACACCCAACAGCAGAAACTCATTAGGATTGGCTACATTCGGTGTGTGTGGCCTAACATGCAAAGGGTTCCTGCTACAAAAAAAGCCCAGGGTTTTGACCACAAACAAGGTAAACAGAATAAGAAGCAAAAGGTGGGTGTGGCTGGATGACCACACTTCTGGTGACATGGGGGTGTGGCCTAATATGCTAATGAGTTTCTGCTGTTGGGTGTGGCCTGTTATGCTAATAAGTTCCTGCTGCGCTTTTTCTACCAAAAAAAGCCCTGCTGGAGATCATTTGTAATAGCGGGAGATCTCCAGTCCCCACTTGGTGGTTGGGAACCCTAGTATCCTGTGAAGGGGTGGGGGCAATTTCAAATGACAGCAACATTTGATATAACTGGGGAAAACACTCCAGACTGAAACAGACTAAAACAATAGAAGCCATTGGTAGTACTTTAAAAGAATAACCACTAAATGGCTCGCATCCTTTCTCCAGGGTTGGGGACAAAGGGTGGCAACGAGGGGATCAACTGTCCCGAAGGCACCCACTGCCCTATGGAGTGCCCCAAGGGGCGGTACTTTCCCCGATGTTGTTTAACATCTATATGCGCCCCCTTGCCCAGATTGCCTGAAGGCATGGTCTTGGGTGTCACCAGTAGGCAGATGACAC